GGATCTTTTCTTCGGCATTCGGCAGGAATGCGGTATTTGACGGTCCTTCTCATCCGGCACGGCGACCCCTCGCGGTTCGGAGCAGTAGGACCAGCTGTCAGATACGCCAAGGAGGTGCACGCCACTCAGCTTAGGCAGCTCACGCACACCCCCCCCTTCAACGTCCTTCGCGAAGCTTGGGGCCCGGCGTTCGCTATTCCTCAGGCTGAGCTTTCTTGGAGGAGAGTTTCAGGCCCCATGGTGGCCCTGAGAAAGGGTTCGAGGAGGAGAGGGTGGTCGACGCCGAACTTCAGCGTGATAAGGGGCGATTATCAAGAGGATTTCGTTTTAACTACATGCTCGCCTGCCTTAGTCAAGATAGGGAGTCGAGGCAGCTCGAACGAGATGCGGGTGAAAACCTTGGGATTGAAGCCCGGGGGGGTTTCGACATCGCGGCAGGTTCCTCGAGGTCCAAGAAGTTCCCTTACTTCGAGAAGGGCTGCGTCAAGTCTCTCGCGCGAGGCGCTCTCTTGGCGAGAGACCGTGCAATCGAGCTAGGCTACCACCTGCCTTCGCCTCAGTGTCCGCTCTGTAATCAGTTTTCAGATGGAGTGCGGCATCGACCCGGCAATGCCCAGCTTGCAGCGATGTTCGAGAAGAGCTAGTCGATCAGCCGATCGTAGACGCGGCCCTCGCCATAGATCACAATAACACTAAGGGTGTGCTGCTGTATACTAAGGGAGTCTTCGAGCATCCAGGGAATCGATTACCACGCCCGAGGAATTTTGGAGGCATTCAAGTTCCATTCCACGAAGCTGAGCTCCCAGGGGGCCCAGGTGAAGTGTCCGGGGAGACGTTCATGGACGACGCATGCACCAGGCATTCCATTAGATAACTTAGCAGAGCCTCGTGGGGAGATGTACAGGTCACCAAAGGGGAACATAAGCAGCTGGTCTGGGTTGCGCGGCCACTTCGGGGACCTCCCCCCCAGACTCCCAGGCTGGAGGGTTTGGGGCTTTGGCCATGGTGGCCAACAATCTTCTGGGCCCTGCTGAAGGTTTCTCCAACCGCAAAGACGTTGTGGATCCATCTCAGATGCCGCGATCGGGGCGTTCGTATAAGCGAGTCTACGCCGGCACAAAGATGCTGGCTCAAAGCCCAGCGTTGCAGCAACTCTTGGAAGTCAAAACCCACGTGTAATATGACCCATGTCTCACTGATCAGCAGCAGTGGGGGAAATTCGGTAATGGCGCTGCTGGCGCAGCAGCGAAGTCCGGCGCAACGTCTCACCCAACAGGAATTCCCACCGAACTTGATCAGATTGAGTGGCAGGCGAAGGTTTCACGATCTGTTTGTTTGCTCGCGGCCCGACTCTTGCCCCTTTGGCCTGCCCTGGACCTCGCGGGAATCCAGTTGGCCCTCAGAGCGCCTCGCCAGAAGCCCCCTGCCCGACCCTCATCTGCTCTTGAGTGGGAATGGCACGGGTCTTATTGGAGGTGCACGGTGTGACTCAAGCTAAGAAGACCCAATCCCGATTTTGTTATCGGCAAGAGCGAGCTGCCCGCCGCCGCTGGTTGCTCGGGTAAAGTGCCAGAGTCGTTGCAACAAGTAGGAGCCAGAGGACACGAGTTATTGAATTTCGATTGCAGCGATCGATCTCACTTGTTCATTTGTGTAAAGTGCAAAGCCGTTTCTACTTTGGGCCCCTTGGCTTCGTTGGCTAAGGGATGTCAGCCAGGCCCCGACCCGCAACAATATAGAGAGGTGGAAGTGTCGAGTGCTGGAAGGGGCGACGCCCGAAGCTCGACGGCGTCGCCATCGAAGTGTCGCCCGAACTTTTTGGAGCGCTCGAAGCCGAACCCCGGCAGCCAGATCCTGTCGTCGAGCCGCCGTCGTCGTCTGCACTCGCCCAAGCTGCTGGCCAACCCTTTGGCGAGCAGGGGCAGCCAGCTCCTGGGGGGCAAGCCGTGCTCGCCCAGGCAGCGCAGGTTGAGCCTGCTGCTGCCCCTCCAGCGTCCCAGCGCTCTCTGTGGGGCGAGATCCCGGAAGGAGACCTGGGGGGCGGAGACTCAGACTTTCTTTTTATGTTGATGTTACGACATGCCTGTCTTTACTTGTTATAGTCCAAAAAGGCGGAGGCTTGCTCGTCGCCCCGGCGTTCTCTACACCAGGGGCGGGCATTGCCGAGTCGCCCTGGCGTCGCCCGGGGCGCGTCGCACATGTGCGCGCGCGTGCGCGAGCGCGCCCAGCACGCGCGTCAGGCGCCCCATCTTTGGGGGAAGGAGCGTTGCACATGCATCTCGGAACTGCCTTCGCTGCGCCTAGCCCCCTTCAGGTTTGATCCGGGATCTTGCATTTTGCAGGTTGGCGGCGCTGGTGTCTCGCAGCCAGCCCTGGTGCCCGAGCTTTGGGGCTCCGCCAGCCTCGAGAGGCTGGCCGTCCTTTTCATTGCAGTGCGCTGTTTGGTTCACCCCTTGGGCTTCGGGCACGGGGGTGGATTGGGCTTGCCAGTCCGCCGCGACGGCTGATCAGTCCCAGACACCTCTTTTGTTCCGCCCTGGCCTTCCGCTGGGTTCCATTCGGGGGGCTGGGCGTTCCCTTCGGTTGGCGGTGCTTGTTGCGCAGCCAGCCGTGGAACCCGAGCTTTGGGGTTCCGTCTGCCCGACGTCGCCCCCCCCCCCCCCCTTTCTCTTTTTGGTTTGTGGTTGTCCCTGTTGCACGGCTGCGGCGCCCCTTGTGGGCCCCCACGGTGGCAGCTGCGCGGGGGCAGCCCCCGTGGGCCCCCTGGGCGCGGGGGCGGATCTGGATGACCTCGCCGCGGTGGCAGGGCACATTTGCTTCTGATGTTTGTTGGGTTTTCGGTTTTCACATTGCAAATTGGGCGCGCGCCCAGCGCCCAGAAGGCGCGCTGGGGGCGACCGGAACAACGCCCAGAAGAGCGCCTGGGAGCGCGCCGGGGCGAGCGCCCGGGCGAGCCCAGAAGAGTGCCGAGAACAGCGCCCAGGAAAGCGCCATCAAGAGCGCCCAGAATACAGCCCATACGCGAATCTGGAAGAGCGCCCGAAAGTGCGCCCGGAAGTGCGCCCAGAAGCGACCGATTTTGCGACCGATTTCGCGTCTGATTTCGCGTCCGGTGTTTTGCGCGTCGATTCAATACGGAAATAAATCATACGCAAATCGGGTTTACATTCGGACAAAAACAAAACGGATGCAAATCGGACTCAACATCGGGCGCAAATCGGAGGCAAAATTCGACGCAACATCGGGAGCAAGATCGGACGCTGATGGCGTCGACCATTTCTGGGCGGATGAGGCAGCGTACCGCGGTGCATCATGGCGAGGTCTGGCAGGGCGTGCATTGCGGACCCACGCGCGCAATTCAGCGTTGGAGTTTAGCGATGTGGCGAACGACAAACTGCGAGATCGCGTTGTGTCCAGCTCGGGCCAAACCGACAGAAACATCAGATCGCCGCTTCTGCGGCCGACGCCGAGGAGGATCTGGAAAGCCAGTCCGCCCCGACTGCTGCTCATCCCCCCCCCCTCCCCTCCCCCCCCCCTCGTGGGGTGGAGGCTTGGTGCTGCTGCGGCCACGTGTGCAACTACACCTGGCCCCTGCACCGCGTCAAGCGTCGGCAACAGTTGTTGTCGCTATGTCGCCGCTTCTCTGTTCGCAACGCCGTCCAGTGAAGCTCAGCTCGCTATGGCGAGTTCTCCCCGTCAGGTTCCACGCGCGTTCCAGGCGAAGGGGCCTGCTGGCGTCGCCGCCTCCGTCATCAGCAGGCTCCACAAGACGGGTCAGGTGCAGAGAAGGGTTCTGGCCTCTTCCAACGAGGGAGGGGAGCCCGCGGTCGAGCAGCTGAGACGCGTTGCTGCGTCTCTCAGAGACGAGGAGGACGAGGCTCCCCTGCAAGCTGCTCGCGCAAGCGCCGCGGGGTCTGGTGGCTCCGTCTGACCCTTGGCGTCCCTGTGTCCGTGCGGCCCGTCCCGCTCAGTCACCGCCAAGGTCTTTTCTTCCACTGGCAAGCCCAACTGCTGTGCCAGTCATGGTTCATGTAAAAAAATCCTCCTCCTCCTCCTTGTCCCTCTCCTCCTCCTTGTCCCTCTCCTCCTCCCTCTCTTCTTCTCCTCCTCCTCCTCCTCCTCATCCTCATCCTCATCCTCGGCCTCGGCCTCCTCCTCCTCCTCGTCCTCCTCCTCGTCCTCCTTCTCCTCCTCCTCTTCCACCTCCTCCTACTGCTCCTCCTCCTCCTCCTCCTCCGCCCTTGCCTCCTCCTCTCCTCCTTTCCTCCTCCTCCTCTCCTCCTCCTCCTCCTCCTCCTCCTCCTCCTCCTCCTCCTCCTCCTCTCCTCTTCTCATCCTCCTTTTCCTCCTCCTCCTCCTCCTCCTCCCCTCCTCCTCCTCCTCCTCCTCCCTCTTCTCATCCTCCTTTCCTCCTCCTACTCCTCCCCTCCTCCTCCTCCTCCTACTCCTCTCCTCCTCCTCCTCCTCCTCCTCCTCCTCCTCCTCCTCCTCCTCCTCCTCCTCCTCCCATCCTCCCTCCTCCCTCCTCCCTCCTCCTCCTCTTCTCATCCTCCGCTTCTCCTCCCCCTCCTCCTCCTCCTCCTCCTCCTCTCCTTGTCCCTCTCCTCCTCCTTGTCCCTCTCCTCCTCCCTCTCTTGTCCTCGGCCTTCCTCCTCCTCCTCCTCGTCCTCCTCCTCCTCCTCTTCCACCTCCTCCTCCTGCTCCTCCTCCTCCTCCTCCTTCTCCTCCTCCTCCTCCTCTTCTCAATCCGCCTCTCCTCCTCTCCTCCTCCTCCTCCCCTCCTCCTCCTCCTCCTCCCCCTCCTCCTCCTCCTCCTTTGTCCAGGCAAAAACTTGGGTCACCTCCTGTCTCCTCCTGCTCCTTCCCCCCCCGCTCCCCCTTCCTCCTTCCTCGCGCTCCTCTCGCGACCCGCCCCACGCCCGCCCTCGACAGCCCGATGGGCGCCTCGCCCCGGTTCCGGGGCCTTCTAAGACCGGTGGCCGCCTGCGGCGCCGCGCGGGATGGCGTCGCCGCCGCGGCCGGAGCAGCAGGGTGGCGAGGCTTTCGGCGTGGACGTGGCCCAGGTCTCCAGGCAGCTGCCCGTCGGCGGCGGCGACGGTGACGAGCGTCGGGTGCGGGCTCTCGTCGCCGCAGCCGGGCGCAGCTCGAGCGCTTGGCCAGGGTGGGCCCCGAGAGGGGTCCAGGGGCGGACCTGGAGCGGATCCAGGTCCGACGTCAGTCCTCCTCCGACTCGTCCCCCTCCAGATCTCCGCTTCCTGGCGCACTGCAGGTCGCACACACATTGGCGCAGTGATGCTCGGCGTGCGCAGCTATGTAGTCTCATTCGGCAGGGAGACGCTCGGCCCGACACCGGTTCGCCGCCGCCGCCCCCTCCAGATCTAATTTCCTCGGGGGCGGCAAAGAGGGGGGTGATGACTAGGGGGGGTGGATATCATGGCGTGGGCCATGACATCTCCCCAGGTTTCATGGCGCCTCTTCTTGTTTCATTGCGTTCCTGCCCCCCCCGCTGGGCCGCGCACGTGCCGCCAGTCATGATTTGCACCCCCCCTCTTGGACACCCCCCCTCTTGGCCGCTCCCGACTTTCCTCCTCGTCATCGTCGTCGGCCTCGTCGTCGGCGCCGCCGTCGTCGTGCGAGGATCAAGTTCTCCAGGCAGCAGTCCTCTCGTGTCATCGCCGTCTTTGCTGAAGGAACGTGCGCGCAAGTATGCTTATTCTGGCGCAGTGCGTCTTGACAAGGTTTGCCTGGGGTGAGGTTCAGCTTGTCCTTCGGCCTCGAGGGTCAGTCGATGATGGCGAGTTGGTAGAGCTCAGTTTGTTTTGGTCAGCCTCGCCTCCCCCTCCAAATCCCTTCGTCGTCGACCTCGCCGCCGATGTCGCCGACAACGTCATCGTCGTCGGGCGTCGAGGGTCGAGATGCGATGATCAAGGTCTTCGCATACGCTGTTTTGCCCTCCTTTGGGGGAACCTGACGAGGCCGCCGACGTGGGTGAAGTCAGGTCTCCAGGCAGTTTGCCCCCCCCCCCCCCCGTCGTCGATTGAGGCTCGAGGCTCAGGGATGATGCAGATTTTGGAGCGCTTTGGGTAATTTTTGAGGCGTCGGAAGCGCCCTCGTCACGACGGCTGGATTCCTCTCGACATTCTGGTCGGAACGCACCCCAGGATAGGTCTCCTCCAGGCAGGTGTCATGGTTTGGGGGGTTTGGTGTTCTGATTGTGCAAGTCGTTTGGTTCCTCGAGCCTTCGCTTTCGCCAGACGCGTGTAGGGAGGCTCCCCGTGGCCTCCCCGATGCACGTCGAACGTAATTACCTGATCCAGGGGATGGGGAGAGTCTTGCGAGAGACCAGGCATTTGGCTCCCCATTCCCATTTGCTCGCGCACCCAGCCTGTGGCCAGCGTTCTTCACAGGAGCATTAGGTATGCAGGCCTGGTGCTTCGTTATCGTAGCCCTTCGTCGTTACCTGGAGCCTCAGGAGATTCCCGCCTTCCTCCCTTCTCAGTCCGTCCTTCATGTTGCTCCTTCCCTCATGCTGCAACGCCTCCCCCCCCCCCCTCCTCCCTGACCCCTTCCTCCCTTCCCTTTGCCCCGTGTTCCTGCCCCTGCTTCATGATCCGTCCTCCACTGCTGCCCCCCCCCCTTCCTCTCCCCTCCCCGGTTTCCGTGCCTCCCCCGCTTCCCCCCTGAGGCAGCTGTCGTGGGTGCTGCGGAGGGGCGCGCGCCAGTCAGGGGTCCGCATCGACAAAGAAGGCGGCCCCGTGCCATCCGCCATGCTGGCCCTCTACCACTTTACCTGTCTCTCGGCGGCGAGCGAGGGGGGACATGAAAAGGAGAAGGCCTTCTCAGAAGGCGCCGGGACTTCTCAGAAGCCCTCGCGCCTTCTGAGAAGTTTTGACCTTGTCTTCGGGAAAGGCTTCGAAAACTTCTCAGATGGCCGCGGGACTTCCGAACCTTCTCAGAAGGTTTTCTCCTTCTGACTTCCCACCCTCACTCGCCGCCGACTCCACCCCTCTCCCTGTCTCCTCCCGCACCTCCTCCACTGCTGCTGCGCTAAGGCCCGAGCAGGTCTCCAGTGCTCTCTGGGTGTTCGGCAGGCCATGGTCGCCGCGTCGGGACGCGGCCCAGAAGACCTGCCAGGAAGGTTTCCAGGAGGGGCCCGAGTCGGCGACTGGTCGAGCTTGCTCCGCGTCCATCTCCACCTATATTGCGCTGATGTTTGCATGCTCGCTGTTATCGTTTTTGCTTGTCGTGCTTGTCTGCACTGTGAAGGTCTTTGTCGCCACGGCTGGATGCTGGGCAGGCAACGGGCCAGGCATGTGCCCAGTTGAGGTCCGTGGGCCGATCTTGAATGCTTGCCAGCGTGGACCCCAAACAGAAGGCTATTGCACAGTTGGAGAGTACGTCAGATGGTGCGTTGAATGCGATGCCTTGTACGTACGTTGTGCAGCGTAAGGGATGCACTCCATGGCCGCCAGCGCAATATTTATCAACTACGCAGTTGGCATCGATTAATCATTATATCACAAGCCATATCAGCAGTAGCCGTCGTAATCTCAGCAGTAGTTGTAGACATGGCATCAGTTGTCGTAGAAACACAGCCAGTGGGATTTCTGGTACGTTTCGCAGTACAAGTTTGAGTTCATTTGCGTTGCATGAAGTGTTCAGGCTTGTCCAACCATGTGTTGTGCTTACTCCCATTGTGCAGGTCATGCGGTACGGTTTTACGTGGTGCAATATATGTATGGCCGACGCCAAGAGGGCGAGCGGCAGTGCAACGATGTCGCAAGCTGGGTCGCGCGGCGATCTGATTTAACGAAGTTTGTCTACGAGGGTCTTCACGCCTTAGATGCCGCTGGCGTTGATGATCTCCGTCGCTTCGACGTGAATGTCAGCCGTGTGGGTTTCTTTGGACGAAGGCGTCGCCTTTGAACATTGCAGCAATGGCGAAGGCGGTTTCGTCGCGGTGAATGGCGAAGGTTGGTCGACAGAGCAGCGAGCAATTGTTCCGACATTCGTGGGCGACTCGTACGTGCAGCCGTCGATCACACCGTCAGCGACAAGGCGGAAATTCCTTGCTGCTGGTAGCCACGTACGTACCCTCCTCCTGTTCCTCCTGCTCCTTCCTCCCTCTCCTCCTTGAGGGCACGGTCGCGCCTCGATCCTCCCTCTCCTCCTCCTTCTCCTCCTCATCCTACTCCTCCTACTCCTCCTTCTACTCCTCCTCCTCCATCTCCTCCTTGGGTCCGGAAGAATCTATTTCCCAACCCTCCTGCGTTGGGTTCTCGTTTTGAATAGAGCACTGCTCGCGCGAACCTTCCTTCCTTCCTTCCTTCCCATCCCTCTCTTCCCCCCTGCCTTTGACCTCGCCATCCCTGGGGGGCTGCGATCTGTGAAACTGTCGCCACTTTCGAGGCCTGCTGGGGGGCCCAGCACAGTGGGTACTCACCGCGGACTCAAATTAGACCTCGCCATCCCTGGGGGGCTGCGATCTGTGAAACTGTCGCCACTTTCGAGGCCTGCTGGGGGGCCCAGCACAGTGGGTACTCACCGCGGACTCAAATTAGACCTCGCCATCCCTGGGGGGCTGCGATCTGTGAAACTGTCGCCACTTTCGAGGCCTGCTGGGGGGCCCAGCACAGTGGGTACTCACCGCGGACTCAAATTAGACCTCGCCATCCCTGGGGGGCTGCGATCTGTGAAACTGTCGCCACTTTCGAGGCCTGCTGGGGGGCCCAGCACAGTGGGCCACGCGCGGACTCAAATTAGACCTCGCCATCCCTGGGGGGCTGCGATCTGTGAAACTGTCGCCACTTTCGAGGCCTGCTGGGGGGCCCAGCACAGTGGCCACGCGGACTCAAATTAGACCTCGCCATCCCTGGGGGGCTGCGATCTGTGAAACTGTCGCCACTTTCGAGGCCTGCTGGGGGGCCCAGCACAGTGGGTACCCACCGCGGACTCAAATTAGACCTCGCCATCCCTGGGGGGCTGCGATCTGTGAAACTGTCGCCACTTTCGAGGCCTGCTGGGGGGCCCAGCACAGTGGGTACCCACCGCGGACTCAAATTAGACCTCGCCATCCCTGGGGGGCTGCGATCTGTGAAACTGTCGCCACTTTCGAGGCCTGCTGGGGGGCCCAGCACAGTGACGCCACCGCGGATTCAAATTAGACCTCGCCATCCCTGGGGGGCTGCGATCTGTGAAACTGTCGCCACTTTCGAGGCCTGCTGGGGGGCCCAGCACAGTGGCCACGGCGGATTCAAATTAGACCTCGCCATCCCTGGGGGGCTGCGATCTGTGAAACTGTCGCCACTTTCGAGGCCTGCTGGGGGGCCCAGCACAGTGACGCCACGCGCGGATTCAAATTAGACCTCGCCATCCCTGGGGGGCTGCGATCTGTGAAACTGTCGCCACTTTCGAGGCCTGCTGGGGGGCCCAGCACAGTGTCGCCACGCGCGGACCCAAATTAGACCTCGCCATCCCTGGGGGGCTGCGATCTGAGATCCCCGCCTTCGAAGTGGCTAGGGTTGCTCAGGGATTGTAACAAATCAGCTTTATCTAGTCCTTGTCCTGTAGCCAGTGTCCTGCGAGTGTCCCGAATTCCGTCTGCAGACATATGTAACCCTCGTTCCGTCATCGCCCCCTTTATAAAGTGTCCTAAACTATTTGCGCCCCGCGTTTGCGCAGGGGTTGGGTACGTCGCCAGGATAATTGTTTCCCGAATGTGCCCCTGGCGGCACCTTCGAATCGCTCCGAGCCTCCGCCGCGATCGGGAAGACGTTCCCCGTCATCGAGCAATGGGAAAGGGCCTTCCCTGGACGTGAAGATGATGGTTGGCACAGAAGCAGCGGGCGACGGCGATTTCGGGTGCAGTTGCGGACGGGGTTGCTGGCTGTTTCTTCCCAGAACCGCGCATGCCGAGGTGCCCGTGATTGCCATGGCCATCCATGTCTGTGGAGCACAGAGCCGCTTGCAGTTGCGGCTACGACGACAGCTCCTGGCAACCTCAAGGCGGAGGAGCGCGCGAGGCGCGGGTGGGTGTTGCTGCCCCACGTCCGAGGCGCTCGTGAGCTCCCGCGCGAGGCGCACGAAGAGCTCTCGCAGTGCGTGGCCCCCCCCCCCCCTCCGGCACCGCTGACGGCCGAGTCCACAGGGCGAGGCGATGTCGCCGCGTGGCTGGTCGCAGGTCGAGCGCAAGCACTGGCGGAGGCGGCAGTGGGCTTCGTGGCGGGCGGGCCGCCGCGGCAGTCCGGCAGCAGTGCAGCGCGCGCCGATTGCTGGCACGGCGAGAGGCGGCGGCTGCTCGGTCGGCGGCCGCCGTGCTGCATGCAGCTCGAGGAGCGGCCAGTGGCTCCTACGGAGGAGCGGGCGCCCGCGCCGTTCGAAGCGCTATCGGACGCGGTCGTGGAGGCGGTGGGAGAGATCGTGGAGCCCCCCCTCCCGGCGGAGCGGGCCATCGTAGCGCCTAAGACGTTGGACATCGACGTGGCGGAACACGCGGTGGAGCCCTCCAGGCAGCGGAGGAGCGCCAGGAAGAAGCACGTCAACGAGGGCAAGCCCGCGGACGGGCCCGCGGCGGCGGCGGGCAGCGCGGCGCGGCTGGACGGTGGGCAGGGCGCACGGGATATCGCGTCTCGCTCGTGTCCAGAAGTTGCCAACGGTCGACATTTGAGAGGGCCGACGAGGTGAGCTCCACGGGGCACCAAGGCAGTCAGCTTGCGGTGCCCACGGAGCAGGCGAGCATCAACGGAGCGTTGGCGGAGCCCGTCGGCGAGATGAGCTCCATTGGGGGACCAGGGCCGTCAGCTCGCACTGCCCACGGAGCAAGCGAGCATCAGCGCTGGCGGAGCCAGACAAACCACCCCAGCTTGCTGGTGGCAGCAAGCAGGCAGGCGACGACGGCGACGACGCGGAGATCGAGGCGGAACTGGCGGCGCTGAAGGCGTCTCGGACCGTCTTGGTGCCGTGCGCGGTGTCAGGCACCCATCCTGGTATCGGTGGTGGCGATGGGCGCGAGCTGCTGAGCACCGTCGCGGAGTGCCACCGCCAGGGGCAGCAGCGGCGCGAGCAGCGGCGTGCCGAGGGCCCCGCCACGCTGGCCGCGGCCGAGCGTGGTGAGTTTCCGCCGCCGCCGCCGCCGCAGCCCACTCCCGCTTGCCAGCAGATTTTCAAGCCACAGACACAATTAATCGTCGATTCCCCAGAAAACATGGGAAGATATGGGCAGTGGGGGGGAAGACAAAAACCCAGAATATATATGAAAATATGGGGAATCCTGTTATTTGTGTGTATGTTTTTGTGTGTCCCAGGGCCCCTTCAGATGTGACGATCCAGTGCTAGCAGCCTGCTGGCGCGAGGCCCGCGGGGCGGCGGCCGTGCGCTGAGCGGGCGAGGTCCTCGAGGCGGCGCGCGCGATCTGAGCGCCGCGAGCAGCAGCGGGCGGGCGGGGGAGACCTTGCCTGCCTCCACATGACTCTTGGGAACTCCTCCTTGAGTTCACCCTCGTATTCTTGCTCCGCCGCCTCCTCCTGCTCCTCCTCCTCCTGCTCCTCCTCCTCCTCCGCTCATCCGTCGCCGCCTCCTCGTCATTGCTCCTCCCTCTCCGTCGCATCCCCCTCTCCCTGCTCTGGTTGTCTGGACGGGGCAAAGACGCCCGCCGCGGTGTTGCAGGCTGGGTCCAGGTCGCCGACCTCCTGGAATGCAAGTACTTTGACTCCCTCGCGGAGGCGGCCGCGGCCTGTATGAACCTTGGGAGGAAAAGGAGCAGGAGGAGGCGGGGAAGCAGGGTGAGGGACCGGGAGGGAGAGGGGAGGAGGAGGAGGAGGAGGAGGAGGAGGAGGAGGAGGAGGAGGAGGATCACAAGGACGAGGGGGACGTCGAGGAACCAAGCCCCCACGATCTGCATGAAGCAGCTTGCTGGTGCCACAACGCTGGGGGCAATGAGGCAGACGATCGCCCAGCTGGGAAACCGCTTGCTCCCGCAGGTTCTGCCGTCGACGTGTGAGGCCAGATCTGTGCTGTTCACGAAACGGCACAGAACATGTGAAAGAACGCAGTGTGCCGCTGTTGGCACGGGGGGGTTTAACCCCCCCCCCGCACAAAACCAAGGAGGGCGGCGGGAGAGATTCTTGACCTCTCCCCCCCAACGGAGAAATGATTCGGAGTGGTCCAGAATGCCCCACCCCCACCGGAAAAATTATTCGAAGTATCCAGAAGCACCACCCCCCCGGTAACGACAACGTCCACGTCCACGACAACGACGACGACGGCGACGACGACGACGACGACGACGGATGTTGACTACGAAGACAACGCCGACGCCGACGACAACGACGACGACGATGACGACTGACAATGACGATGACGACGACGACGACGACGACGGATGATGACCACGAAAACGGCGCCGACGCCGACGACAATGACGACGAAGACGTTGACGAGGACGCGGACGACGACGACGACGTTGACGACGACGACGACGACGTCCGAGCTTCAGTGGGTTGCGAGTAAGGCTGGTTCGGGCCCGAGTGGGATGCGAGTAAGTCTGGGTTTAGCCTGAATCGGGCTCTATTCGATCCCGATTCAACATTACGATGGTTCTCTTACAGATGGATCGAGCTCGAATAGGATAATATTGGACCTGGATCCAAGCCTACGAGGATTCCTTGAGAGATTGAGTCGCCCTTGTAGGACCCCGTTACAGCTGCATCCAATGTCATAGAGATGTTGCAGTAATTGTGGATCGAGCCCAGAGACCATCCCATCAAACGTGGATCCAGCCTTGATCTGATTCTATCAGAGTCGGGTCCAAACATAGTAGGATTCCATCCTATGTAGTTGGATCAGCCCCCCAGTATGGTTGAGCTGGATCGAGCCCTACCAGGATTCAATTGGACCCGGCGCATCCTTGGCAGGGTTCCCCCAGAGCTGGGTCGGGCCCTCGTAGGATTCTGAAAGAGTTGAATCGGCACTTGAGAAAGAATTTGTTTAGCTGGACCCCGTGCCATGAGAGCGCTGATCCAGACCTATAACAATTGCGCTAGAACCAGATCAACCCCAGTGGGGCTCTAGTCTACTTGCATGAATCCCTAATCGGTTGTTCTAGAGGTGGAATACAACATCATGACTGCTCCAACCCTAACATATTGTAGTGGCCTCTGGCCAGTACCGCCGATCCGGGGCGCTCCGGATGATGATGATGATGATGATGATGATGATGATGATGATGATGATGATGATGATGATGATGATGATGATGATGATGATGATGATGATGATGATGATGATGATGATGGTGATGGTGATGGTGATGGTGATGGTGATGGTGATGGTGATGGTGATGGTGATGGTGATGGTGTTGGTGATGGTGATGTTGATGGTGATGGTGATGGTGGTGGTGGTGATGGTGAAGGTGATGATGATGATGATGATGATGATGATGATGATGATGATGATGATGATGGTGGTGATGTGACGATGGTGATGGTGATGGAGATGGTGATGATCCCAGCCCCCCCCCACCCCCCCTCCTCTCTCCTGTCCCCCCCCCGTCTCCTGTCCCCCCCCTCTCTCCTTTCCCCCCCCCCCTCTCTCCTGTCCCCCCCCCCTTCTCCTGTCCCCCCCCTCCCCCTCTACAATTACACAATATGAAAATACTCTCCCACTTCCCCTGATGGCGTCCCGAAGATATCCGACCCCCCCCCGCGTACTGTTTTTTCACACAGGATTCCCGGGAAACGGGTTTTCGCCTGCGTTTTTTCCAAACTGCTGCTCTCGCTGAGGCGCCGGCCTAATTTCTGCTCCCGAATCGTTCCGAATCGTGTTCCCGCTGCAGCGCAGGCCTCATTTTCGGATCGGTGTTTGGCCTCCGTCGTTCAGGATGGCGTTCTCGCCCCAGCGCGGGCCTCTTTCTCGCGCGCCCATCCGCCCGCCACCACCGCGCCACCACCACCAGCACCACCACCACCACCAGCACCAGCACCACCACCACCACCCACCCACCCACCACCCACCACCACACCACAACCACGCACACACGCACGCACGCACGCACGCGCACCACCACCCACTACGCACGCGCGCGCGGAGCCACAGGTCCGCTACGACACGCGTCCGCGGATAGAGAAAATCAGCGCCATGGTAAGGGATGGGAGGGAGGGGTAGGACGTCAGATATGACGCGAGCGCACCTAGCTTGTCCCCCCCCCTCTCTCCTGTTCCCCCCCCCTCTCTCCTGTCCCCCCCCACCTCTCTCCTGTCCCCCCCCCCCGTCTCGTGTCCCACCCCCACTCTCCCCCCCACCTCTCTCCTGTCCCCCCCCCTCCGCCCTCTCTCCAGCCTCCCCCCCTCTCTCCTGTCCCCCCAGCGCTCTCCTGTCCCCCCCCCCCTCTCTCCTTTTCCCCCCCCCCTCTATCCTGTTCCCCCCCCCCCCTCTCCTGTCCCCCCCTCCTACCCCCCCCCTCTCTCCTGTCCCCCCTCCCCTCTCTCCTGGGGGCTGACAGGGGGGGAGGTGCACTGAATCCTTTAGTTAATTACGCCTCCCCCCTCCCAAGCAGAGCTAAAGCTCATGCTGAAGCAGAGCTTCAGCTTAGACTTCTTAAACTCACACGCCGGATCGGCGGATTCCCAGCAACGATGGAACCAACTTTTGTAGGACTGCGTTGGCGCTGGATTAAGCCTTAATTGAATTCCATTACGTCTGGACCCAATACAGCTCGATCCAGCATTGGCACGATGCTATTAGAACTGGGTCGAGCCTTTGTGGATTTGTATTTGAACCTGATCGAACTCTCATCGGCTTTATTCGAATTGGGTTCAGCCATGATAAAAAAGGGATTCGGTTGGAGCTGGGTCGAGCCGTGGTCGGATTTTCCCCGGGATCGAACTTTAATAGGATTCGATTAGAGTTGGATGCAGCCCTGCGTAAAAAAGTTGCTGGAGCTAGATCCAACCCCAGTAGGAATCGATTGGACGTGGTTCGACCTTTCATCGAATTTGGTGAAAGCTGGCTACCAGCATTCGATCAGAGCCATCGACTGTCGCCGGCGCCGGTGACAACGGCGCCGCCGTTGACGTTTTCGCCGTCGTCGTCGTCGTCGTCTCTCTCGTCGCGACGTTATCAACGTTGTCGTCGTCGGTGCCAGGGGGGGGGCGGGTTTGTGGACTTTCGAGTAATTTGTCCTGGGGTCGTGGCGCTTCATGCTTCTGGATCCTTCCGAATCATTTTCTCATTGGGGGGGGCTCTGAGTAATTCTCCTAGGGGGGCGTCGGAATTCCAGGCTTTCTGTGGAGGGGCTTTGGGGGGGAAGGTGAAAGGGGTGGGGGAGCCCTTGATTCCTGACACCACCTTTGGATTTTTTCTGGTGGGGAGGGGGCCCATGGTTTTTGGCCTCCTGTTTTTCAGGTTTTGGTCAGGCCAACGGCGGTGGATCGCGTTCCCTCGAACATTGTCGTCGCACCACTCAGTGGTGTCGGCAGCAGCGCCAATCTTGGATGGCCTAAGATCAGTAGTGCTCGAGAGCTCCAAGACCCTCCATCGGTGCGATCGTTCAGGCCTTCGGTTTTCGCAAAGGTGGATTTCATCAGGCCGCCCAGGCCAGAGCTATATCTCACCAGGACCCTGGGATCCCCAGGCCATTTGCCCCCGTGGACGATTCCCATATCGCATCTTGGCTGTTCGTTTGATTCGGTTGGTTTACGGGATGAAGTCGTCGGCGGGTCACCAGGCAGATGTGCCATCGACGTCATGGTTTTGTGTAATGGATGTGGTGCGTACTCCCAACGCCAGGCTGGGGGATTGTGGCACAAATTTGGGCCCGGTCAAATGGTGGTTCGTCCAGCTCGGGACAAGTTATGGGCGGATATTCAAAGAAAGAGAAAGAGGACGTGGACGAGGATATTGAGAGAACCGTGTGCGCGGTGCTACGGCGAGAGCCGCATGTTTGAAATGTAACCGCCCTCCATCCGTTTAGCTCTGGCAAACTTTTAAGACGAATGTGCGCGGCGCTAAGGCGAGAGCGACATTGTGAAAACGAAACGCCCTCTATCCGTGAAGCTCTGGCGATATTTCAAGGCGAACGTGCGCGGCGCTAAGGCGGGCCGCCGTCCATCCGTCAAACTCTTGCACATGTGAAGCTTCAGGGTCATACGTGGTGAGGATATCTCAGGCGAAATTCCCACCACGTCCTTTCGACTGGCTTCGGGGTTCGACCGGGAAGAGTTATTGCTAGGAAAAGAAATGGAGGACGGATCAGGAAAGGAAGCACAAGAGGAGGGAAGTTTGGAATTGTGCTTTGATTTTCCGAGGAGACGGTCAGCTTAGTGCGGCATTCACTAGCTGCTGGCAGAAACACGCGGTATCTAGCAGCACGGGCGTCAAGGTGCAAACGTTCTGCATACCCCTACCACCCCGCACCCTTATCGTCATAAAGCGCACCTGGCACAACACAACTGCAGGAGAAGGGAGGAGGCAAGAGGAGGCATACCAAGAAGGGGAGCAGGTGAGATGGCCTGCGAAGGGCCGAAACCCAGCAGCGTGGGCTTGTACAGGGCATGGGTCATCGGGGGCGCACGATATTCGCACGCTCGACCTGTGGCCTGTGTCTGCACCAAGCACCAGCGCTCCAGTCCCGACCAGCGCACATTGATCGCAAAGAACAGCGGTGTGCCCAAATTCGCCTGGCGAAGGACCCAACCATATGCAGTTGTGGATACCGCAATTGTGAATACCATCTTCGCCCGCGCCCCCTATGTGGCCACGGCTTCCCGCCGGAACCCGACATGCTCAGGAACACGTTCGTGGCCGTCTTCGCGGGCGCCGACGACGACAAGGACGGCGTCTCTCTGACCGAGGAGCAGAAGCAGGAGAGGGCTTTGAGAGCCATGAGGGAGGAGGCGGCGCTGCACGTCGACAAGGCGGAGTACGACGCCCAAGCGCGGTTGTTGAATCAGCACAACTGTGGGGGCGGCCACGATCCTCGTGAAGGGGCGTGCCGCAATGGCCCGGGGCCGCCATGCGCACTTTGCCACTGGCGCCTTCGCTGGAGCTCCTGCGGGGCCACGATCCTCGTGAGGGGTGTGCCGAAATGCCCCGCGGCCGCCACGCGAACCTTGCCGCCGGGGGCCTTCGGTGGAGCTCCTTATGGAGCCGCGATCCTCGCGAGGGGTGCGCCGAAGTGGCCAGAAGCCGCCGTGTGAACCCTGCCACTGGCGCCTTCGGTGAAGCTCCCGATGTGGCCACGATCCTCGTGAGGGCAGCGCCGAAACGGCCCGAGGCCGCCGCGCGAACCCTGCAACCGGCGCCTTCGATGGAGCTCATATGGAACCACGATCCTCGTGAGGGGTGCGCCGAAATGGCCCGAAGTCGCCGTGCGAACCGTGCCACTGGGGCCTTCGGTGGAGCTTCCTACGAGGCCACGATCCTCGTAAAGGGGGATGCCGAAATGGCCCGAGGCCGCCATGCGAGCTTTGCTACTGGCGCCTTCGGTGGAGCTCCCGTGGGGCCACGATCCTCGTGACGGGTGTACCGAAATGGCACGTGGCCGCCGCGCGAACTTTGCCACTGGCGCCTTCGGCGGAGCTCCTATCGGGCCACGATCCTCGTGAGGGGTGTGCCGAAATGGCCCGAGGCCGTCATGCGCACTTTGCCACTGGCGCCTTCGGTGGAGCTCCTATGGGGCCACGATCCCCGTGACGGGTGTGCCGAAATGGCCCGGGGCCGCCGTGCGAATTTTGCCACTGGCGCCTCCATTGGAGCTCCTATGGGGCCACGATCCTCGTGAGGGGTGCGCCGGCATGGCCCGAGGCCGCCATGCGAACTTTGCTTCTGGCGCCTTCGGTGGAGCTCCTATGGGGCCACGATCCTCGTGAGGGGTGTGCCGAAACGGCCCGAGGCCGCCATGCGAACCCTGCCACTGGCGCCTTCGGTGGAGCTCCTATGGGGCCACGATCCTCGTGAGGGGTGTGCCGAAATTGCCCGAGGCCGCCATATGAGACCACGATCCTCGTGAGGGGTGTGCCGAAATGGCCCGAGGCCGCCATGCGATTTTTGCTACTAGCGCCTTCGGTTGAGCTCTTATGAGGCCACGATCCTCGTGAGGGGTGTGCCGGAATGGGCCCAGGCCGCCATGCGAACTTTGCTATTGGCGCCTTCGGTGGAGCTCCTATGGGGCCACGATCCTCGTGAGGGGTGTGCCGAAATGGCCCGTGGCCGCCGCGCGAACGTTGCCACTGGCGCCTTCGGTGGCGCTCCTTTGGGGCCACGATCCTCGTGAGGGGTGTGCCGGAATGGCCCCAAAAACGCCATGCGTACTTTGCCACTGGCGCCTTCGGTGGAGCTCCTATGGGGCCACGATCCCTGTGACGGGTGTGCCGAAATGGCCCGAGGCCGCCATGCGAACTTTGCTTCTGGCGCCTTCGGTGGAGCTCCTATGGGGCCACGATCCTCGTGAGGGGTGTGCCCAAATGGCCCGAGGCCGCAATGCGAGCTGTGCCATTGGCGCCTTAAGTGGAGCTCCTATGGGGCCACGATCCTTGTGAGGGGTGTGCCGAAATGGCCCGAGGCCGCCATGCGAACTTTGCTACTGGGGAGCTCCTATGGGGCCACGATCCTCGTGAGGGGTGTGCCAGAATGGCCCGAGGCCGCCATGTGAATTCTGCTACTGCCGCTTTCGGTGGAGCTCCTATGGGGCCACGATCCTCGTGAGGGGTATGCCCAAACGGCCCGAGGCCGCCATGCGAACGTTGCTACTGGCGCCTTCCGTGGAGCTCCTATGGGGCCACGATCCTCGTGAGGGGTGTACCGAAACGGCCCGAGGCCGCCATGCGAACTTTGCTACTGGCGCCTTCGGTGGAGCTCCTATGGGGCCACGAAGCGTTGTATTGGGTGGGTGAAACGCAAGGAAGAGGGGGAGGAGGGAGGGAGGGGGAGGAGGAGAGGAGGAGGAGGAGGAGGAGGAGGAGGAGGAAAAGGAGAACACGGGGCGCTTTCTCTTCAAAACGAGGACCCAACACCACAGGATGGTTGGGACAAAAATGTCAGGCGTTTCTCAATCAGAGAGAGCATCACCAACATAGAGAGAGCAATGTCATCGGTCATGCGCCACCATGCCGTCGACGTGGAATACATCGACATCACAAAGCAAGGCAAGCACGGAAAACGGAAAAACACAGAAGGGGGAGGGAAGGAGGGAGGGTCTCCGAATAATTGTTCTGATGTGATGATGTTTCGGGGCCTGGTTTCGGATTTTCGAGCCGACGCGGCGATTGCAAATGTCTGCCCCGATTTCGGAATTTTGAACGTGATTATGACATCGATGTGGTCGGCCCTTCTATTTTTCAGTATTTGCCTATGTCCAACGCTTGCCTCACCCCTACTGCGAAATACCCCCGCCAACCGAACAGTTAAAACAAACAACGATTTCCAATGCAATGCCTCGCCGTCCGCCCTACTTGGTCACATGTTGTCGCGCAAAGTACGTGGGCAAATTATCCAACGATTGCCTTCGGCCATCGACAACTCGGTGGTGTGCGCTCCTTGTTTTCCCGCCGGGTTGCTCGATGTATTTAATGCCTTGGTCCCGCGTTGGGTCGCACAGGGTTCGCTGGAGACAGTGCGAATGCGTTTGCTGGACAAACTAACAGGGGCGAAGCGCTGGAAAGACTTAGGGAGAAAAGGCACTGGTCTCGTGAGCTGTCCCGAGGCCGCAACGCCGTTCCCATCCGCGATTTTTGTTCCGGCGCTGGCCGCGGTCAGTCCGGCTCGCGCCCGAGGCTTTTCGGTTAGTTGGTGAGTTCAATTTTTGGCCTTGCCAGTTTTTTGGGGGGATCTGCTGGCGCGCGCGTTTTCAGCGCTGGCCACTCGTAATTTTTCCGGCGCTGGCCCGGCGTGCTGTTTGCTGGCAGACGTCTGCGTCGCGCGATGGAGTTTTTTTCATTGCAGCCTTTTTCCTGTTCTCCCGATGGCCTTGGCCAAATGCGATTTCACCAAGTCAACGATGGTATGTTGAATGAGTTTTCAACTTCTACTCTTTCCAGCCTCCATGTACCAATCCGATGCTGGGCTCTGCTGGGAAAAAGGGGGGCAGATGAGGCACGCGGAGGGGAGGTCGGGCGGGGCTGAGACGAGGATTGATCCGTTCCAGAGCCTTCCGGAACGCTCTGAGAAGGCCGTTGCGCCTGAGACATCCTCCAGAGCCGCCGGATCTCCGAGATTCTCGATTTATCCTCACCCGATGTTGTCCTCGCCTTGGCTTCGTCTTAGGAGTGGGGATGCAGATGAGGGACGGCTGCCCCCGGTGCGCGTGCCCCTGCGGCGTGCTCATGGCCTCAACTTGAGTTGGCAGCGGCCTTGTCCGTCTTCCCGTGCGTTGCGTTGCTCGCCCGTGGCACGCGGAGGAGGCAGGAGGAGGACGGGTGGATGAGGGAGGGGGAGCATGAGGAGGTCGAAGGTCCGAAGCGAAAGCGATCGGGGGGGTGCGGAAAGTTTGAGAGGAATGGGATGAGGAGGAGGAGGAGGGGGTCGTGGCAGGAGTGTGAGGAAGAGTTGTGCTTGATCTCCAGGAGAAGATCCTGCACGTGATAGCCGCATCCAACAAACAGAAGGAGCGGTATGAGCTGAGGAGGCCACTCGCCCGAGTCGAGCCAGAATCCATTGCAGATGCTCAGAGGGTGCGGTCAGTCAATTTGCGAGATAGTGGCTTGCCGTGGTTCAGTGTTTTGTATGTTCGGCGTGCTCACGCCGTTGGAGCCACACGATGTTGAAGCCTTCCATCCTCAATGTTGAGCTTCGGTCACTTAGCACCTTGGAGTTGAACCCCACACTTGCGCATCCTCGATGCGTTCATGCTGGGAGCATTCACGGAGGAGCTGGATCCCGCCGTCCTCGCGGCGCATTGGGCAGTTCGTAGGTTAAGCGACCGCCAGCTTGACCAGCATGGTCGGTCGAATTGCGTTCACACGTTGCCTGCACGTCGGAGTTGGCGTCCATGCGTTTGTCATTGTGGGCCCGCTCCTCCGTCACGTTTTGCTTTGCCAGTGCACGCAGTTTCCAACCAGGGTGTGCAGGCTCTGTTGCGGTGGGGCACGGGGATGATGGAGAAGGAAGAGGGGCGTCCCGTCCCCTGCTGTTCCTTCGCCTTCTCGTCCTTATCCTCCCGTCCTCCTTCCCCTGTCATTCCTTCCTCGTCCCTCCACCTTCTGGAAGGATGGAGCGGGCGGCTGCTGGCCAGGTCTTCTTGGGGAGCTGGCAAGGACGTCCGCGCAATATGGAGGGACGAGGACCCGATCCTGCGGGGCGACGCCGTCAAGGCACTCCCCCCTCCCTCCTTCCGCCCTCCTCTCCCTCCCCTCCCTCCCTCCCTCCTCTCCCACACATCATGTTTTCTCCAACCGCCCTCATCCCTCCTCCACTTCCCTTCTCTTCCTTTTCATCGCTTCTCCCCCCCCAGTCCCCCATCCGCCTCCTCCTCCCCTGTTTCGTCCCCGGCTTGCGTTCTCTTCCCTTTGTCTTTCTCCTCCTCGCCCAATCCTCCCACCCATCTC